CCGAAGAGATGGTGGAAGGAGGTGAAGCAGATTGCTGGTATGGTACCTACAACCGGCTCCGATGACCTATGTAGTCAACTTCATTTAGACGATATCGCGAATATGCAACGTCCTGACATTGCGAATTTAATTAATAACGCCTTTTTGGAGCCCATGAACTCCTTCAATCCACTGTCAACCCTTCCCCCCTTTGATAATTATTCCTCTTTTCAAGTAAACGAACTGGAAGTCTTTCATTTATTGAAAGCAATTAATCGTGGAAAGGCGTCAGGTCCTGACGAAATTCCCAATTGGGCTCTTAAGGAATATGCTGAAATCCTTGCACAGCCAGTATGCGCTGTGCTAAACAGCAGCTATGCCGAACAACAACTACCTAAATCTTGGAAGCTTGCTAACATTGTGCCCCTCATAAAAACTAAGCCCGTTAGCGACATTTGTAAGCAGTTACGACCAATTTCACTTACTGCCGCTATTTCGAAAATCGCTGAGGACTGTGTTGTTAAAAAATACATTGCTCCAGCTATCATGAGTATAATCGATCCAAGTCAATATGGAGTAATACCAAGAAGTTCAACTACTCTCGCTGTTATATCTATGATCCATGAATGGTCGCAAGCTACTGATGGCACTGGCTCTGCTGTCAGAGTCATCCTGTTCGATTATAGAAAAGCATTCGACCTTATCGATCATGCTTTACTGGCTGATAAAATTTCCAATTTAGCTATTCCACGTGCGGTTGCTCGCTGGACAATCGATTTTTTGATGAATCGAAAGCAGAGAGTGAAATTATCCAATGACTGTTATTCGGAGTGGGGAGATGTACTTTCCGGTATCCCTCAAGGTACAAAATTAGGGCCCTGGCTATTTTGTTTAATGATAAACGATCTTGATATTTGTGATATATCGAGGTGGAAGTTTGTTGATGACACAACAGTTGCTGAAGTAGTTAGTAAGGACACAGAGAGCCGTGTTCAAGTCGCAGTTGATGTTGTGGAAGATTGGTCGAAGGCAAATGGGCTATCTCTTAACGCTGAGAAATGTAAAGAACTGAGAATCGATTTAAAAAAAATTAAACAACCTTTTGATCCTGTACTGGTGGGTGGAGAAGCATTGCCTATAGTTGAGAGTGCAAAAATATTGGGTCTTGTTATGACAGGCACACTTCAGTGGAAAGATAACATCAGAGAGAGTATAAAGAAAGCTAATAAACGCCTCTATTTTATAGTATTATTGAAACGGGCAGGCGTAAATGTCAAAGATGTTTTGAACTTTTATTGTACAGTGATCAGGCCTGTGCTCGAGTATTGTGCGCAAGCCTTCCATCATTCCATTCCAAAGTATTTGGCAGACGAACTTGAGACTGTCCAGAAACGTGTGCTAAAAATTTTATCTCCTGAAATGACATATTGTGAGGCCCTTGAGTATTATAGACTGCCTACTCTATTTCAAAGTAGAGAGGACATGTGTGACAAACTCTTTACGAGTATCATCAAGGATCCAATGCATAAACTTCATCATCTGCTGCCCCCGAAGAACGAGACTGATTATTCTTTCAGGACGAATCGGTATTTTAATATGTACGTTACACGCACGAACCGCTTTTATAACTCTTTTATCCCTGCTATGTGTAGGAAGTTTGTAGGATAGATTTTATGCTTATTTTAATCGAATTTTGATCGTGGGTGGGTTTTATAATATTGTATTAATAATATTTTATATGTAGTGCATGTGATAATATGTAATCCACGCAATTCAGCTTCTGGCTGCAATGTGGTTTCAATTTAATAATAATAATAATAATAATAATAATAATAATAATAAAGTAACAGTTGAACATATTACACGTCAAGTAGTTAATCTCAGAATCTTGGATCTTAATGGAAAACCGGTCTGTGTCAATGAAAATCAAAGTGTCATTTCTCGACATGAAGATCCTGTACCAGATTACACAATCAGTCTTCGAAATGTTCCCTTGGCCGATCATACCAGTGACGCAAGAGGTGTATTCTGTCATGTTTACGACTTTCTCCACAAGCAATTAGAAATGTCGAATGAAACCATCGATCAAATCGTATCTCCGTCATCTTCAGACTGTGAAGCCGTGTATACAGGTAGAATTCAGGGTCTTCAGCGTCTTTGGAAAGCGAAATTCAATCGTGCTCATCTTCATTTTGCTGACAGGGCACACAAGATCGAATCCATGATAGGGAAGTTCGCAAAGAAGCTGAAATGAGATGGCTCGATGAAATCTTATCTCAACTGGATAGTATGATCTCAAAAATTTGCCAATCACGAAAGCAACATAGAAACCTTAGACATGCTGCAACCCTCGCTGATTCACTGGTAAAGAGTATGAAGAGGCTGGTGGAGACATAAGATTTATACGTCACTTGGTTGACTCAGTTGATGCTGTTTTAACTAATGCTTATGTATTGGAACTACTCTGGCAAGAACAAGCTGCTGAGGGAGATAACGAAATTCGTGGTCACTTGAAGAATTTAGTGAGTCCGCTTTTTCTATCAATCTTACTTATACTCGCCGACGTATTTAGTCAGTCCGCATTCACGAGTGAAGCTGCACAGTCTGATCTGTATCCATTATGGGATGACAAAGCCAATGTAAATAAATTTATTGGAAACATAACAAAAATGAATGAAATGCCCGTTCTAGAAAATCCCTTGAACAGAAGGCTGCGTTTACAATACCCAAGTATCCAAGAAGGGAATTTTACGCCAAATTTTAGTAAACCCGATCAGCAAGTCAACATTTTACAACATGATGTTCAATTCCAACCTCGGGTACGACATCGTTCACAACCGTTGACACCAGATGACATCATCAGAACAACTGAAGATAGATTGAAGCAATTGACGTCAGAAATAGTACGAGAAGCTCCAATATTTTTAGCGATGGGCGAACAGGAAGAAAATGTAATAAAGATGTTTGATGTCAAGTCGTTTGATTACCACAGCTCTGAAAGTCTGCGTGAACAAAATAACAATGAATTTATTTCATTTGCTAAACATCTAAACCTTTCATTTCAGGTAACCTTTCATTTCCACGACACCGCTGCTGTGAAGTATGTTCTGGGATAGAGTGCTCATGCTTTCTTGACCAGTACATAGCTCTTAAAGAAAGAGTCCGGGATAACAAGGAGAGATTCAAGAATTTTTGGTTTGTTGAAAACGAAGCACATCAGATTACATGGAATACCTCTAATGTTTTATGCTGCTTTCAATAAACGGAACATGGCTTATACGTGAAGGTATACCGGATTTGGTTGAAATCATCGAAATTTGCCTCGTTATGTCCAGATCTCAATCAGATACAGAACGATTTGGGAAACTTGCTAAAGATGTGTCCGAAAAAAGATCTGGTGGAAAATTTAACGAAACGCATCAAGACCAAAATAAAAGGGACAGAGTTAATCAGGAAACATTTATTTATGGTAATTCAGTTCCACTCCATTCCCTTCCGCTCGAAGATCTGAGGAAAGAATGGAGTAAAACGCATTTACCAGCCATTTTAAGGACCAATCCAGACAAGGAAAGTTCGACCCTGAAGGCTCTCCGAAATAAAGAGCAAAAAGTAAAATTTTGGTTTCGAAAACAATAAACATAACTAAACAATGAAGTACACTTAGTAACTATTTAGCACTAATAAATGAAGCACTGTATTGACAATAGTATATAATTTGTTTTGAGCATGGATATTGGAGTTTGGTTATGACTTATCGGTTTCACTCTCAGGGACTTATCAGTCAAAACATAATAAATTGCTATCACTGAAATCCTTTATCTTATTCTTAATATGCATGCAGACAGTGATGCACTTAATATCATCACAAAATGACAAATATCTAAACAGCTAAATATAATATACGTATATAACATAAGATGTTATTTTAGGAAGATTTATTGGCAGCAACTATTTACCACTAACCAGGAAATTAAAAAGGGCCGGTACATGCACTTGATGCAAAATTGCTTTATTGCGCAATAAAAAATTGAAAAATGAGGCAACAAAACAAATATTAGGCTAACCCCAGGCACGAGAGAAATGCTATTTGGAGCCCTGAAAATTGAGGTTAAGAAAACACAGCTATCCTGCTAAGAGAAAGAAATCTGTGACATTTATGCAAGCTGCATATATAATATTGTAGAATATGTCCTGCCTGTCTTTGAGTCAGTCCATCAAGTGATGAAGACGACTCCTTAATAAGAAACAATAGAATAGGTAAAAAATGTATTTTTCATTGCCGACATTGGTTTGCTGCTACTGTATTTGCGAACCACTGAGATGTGTCATATTGCAAAGACTCCAAAAGCAGGGCTTTCCAGGTGGTTTGAATTTTCAAGTGTAAACGTGTGAGCTTTCATGCCTTATACAAATTGTCAAATGTAAAATAGGAATTTAGACTAAATATATATATATATATATATATATATATATATATATATATATATATATATATATATATATATATATATATATATATATATATATATATATATATATATATATATATATATATATATATATATATATATATATATATATATACCTACCTAGACCTACTTTGTGGATGCATATGTTTTCATATTTTTTCTAGTTGAAAAGGCACTGGATTATGAATATATGCCATGTTGTTTTGAAAATATAGGTGGCCAAAGTTGTGATTTTTTTTGGACAACCAGTTTTGACACATCCAGGCTAAAAGCATGAATGACCCTATCCTGAAAAATCCTTTGGCAGTGAAGAAAAAAAATTGAAAGTCGTCATGACATTCTCCATTAAAAGGAACAAAGGGAATATTGAATTATACAGAATAAATAACAAACTGAGATGGCCAATTACTATTAATGATTTCAGTGACGGCATTAATGGGAACTGCCAAACAAAATGCTCCCTCCCCCTATTTAGGGATATCTATTGAATTTTAAAATATATATATTGAATTTGAAAATTATTTGATAAAAGGTGCTAGTAAAAAGGCAAGGAGAGAAGTTGTAACAAAACAAAAGTTAAAGCATGAAGATTATGAAGCTGGGGTTATTCCAACTGAGTGGGAAGGTAAATTATTTTCTAATGATAAATTATTTGCTTGTATTAATCACTTAACACAACAGTAGTCAGATATCTAGCTTGATTACCATCTTTCCACATAATTCTGTCCATGGTTTTACAAGATCCACAGATTGTAAAAATACTTACCATAAGTCCTCTATTAAACCACCTTCCTCATTTAACCCCTCCTCTCGCTGTATAGCCCCCTCTCTAACAAGCCCCAATTTTGGGGAGAAGAGACTTTTTAAGCCTGGTCTCTATTAACCCCCTCAATTAAACCCCCTTCATGTAGCCTCTCCTTTATTAAGCCCCGTTTATATGCTCTTCCTTTCGTTTATATGCTCTTCAGATAGTGCATGCCCCACCCTCAATGTGCCAGAATAAATAAGCTACTTGTGTGGTGGCTAAATTTTATAATTGAAGGTTTATGGTGATAAATATCCCAAGCGTGCATGAGCCTTATATTTCTCCAGGTTATAGAATTGTATATTATGTACCATTGGATCTAACATATTTTTATTTAATTTATTTCATAGCTTGGCTAAGAGGTTCTGTAGATAATCCACCAACACATGAAGTATGTCCTTAATTGACAGTTTACATGATTTGTAATGGTATAATATTTGCACTGAAGTATTGTAATTTGCAACAATTGGAGAGAGCACAGTAGCTCTATAATAATTGACTTTCAGACTAAAATTCATTCTAATAACTCATTCTCGTATCCAGGTCCCTTAGCTTTTCACCATTCCACCATGCATCCCAGAGTAAACTGAATAAAGTATAGTATTCCACCATTCCAGAGTAAAGTATAGTGGCGTTGCTGTTATGTTTCTCCTATAGACGGATAGAAATGAATTATGACTGACAAAGTACTGTGAAACTAGTTTTAAGCTGTAGGCCTACTACAACTTTGGCTATTTTAGCTGCATAAAATACAACGTTCCTTGGAACGTAAAACTAAAGCTATTCCTAAATATTAACTTGAATTGTGCAGGATTTGCTAAAAAAGCAACAGCAACAAATGGTGTTATCAAAAAGAGTACTTGAAGTTAACCGTCGAGATAAACAGGTATGACAAATCACCGTTCCGCAATAACCAATAATAACCAATAATCTATTGGCGTTGTAAAGCCACTGTATGCAATAAAATATTGCGTTGTAACTGAAGACAAAACCACAAGCATTGGACAAAGGTTTTAATTATAAATGTAATGGCCCTAAAAGGGATGTTGGCCGAGGCTGGGAGGTTACTAAAAAGAAGGTCACCAACTTTACTTTAGGGGCTAAGGGTTAGGGTTAGGATTATGATCAGGATTAGGGAACTAGGATTAGGATTAGTTTTTGGATAGGGTTATTGTAATTGCAGACCATTACAACCCAATACTTTATTGCATACAATGGCATTACAACGCCAATAGATTATTGGTTACAACGTGTGGAATGGCTGGACAAATTATAATATTTTTAGAAGAACAGGATATAATAATTATAATATTTACAACTTACATATCGAAGTGAAAATATAGTGATGCACCGCTTTACTAACGAACGTTACACAAAATTTTATTTGTTTTTTTGCATAATTATGTATGACAAAATTGACTAGATAACGATGAGATGGTCTACATCATTCCCGCACCTGACCCAACGCCTCACTCTAACTCATCGCGCTCATTCTAACCCCCGATCAGGCGATTTCAAGAGTTTCCTGAGATTCGATCCTACGACCAGCTTACAAGCCTAAACCATACATTGGACTGCCGAGCGGTTCACCAAATGTAAAGTATATTGCAATTTATACGTGGTATGATGCTAATTAGCATACGGACAAATATATAGCGTTTACACATTGCGATCCGGGTGTTAGACGAATAACCACTTTTTTGTCCTTTTTGTAAGCTGTGACTCGCGTACAATCGACGAACGAACGCCGTGAGATGCGTTGCGATCTATTTTGCTTCAATTTATATTTTTCATTGTTTACGCATGGAACTGTATAGATATATGTTTGTTCTTAAAAAATATTGATTGCGATGTTTTAAATATTTTCAGCTTCAAGAGCAAGAATATTCAGGTATGTACATGCAGTTATGATTTCTGTTGTAGAACTAACCGATTAAAACCCTCGAGACAGTGAAAGTGCCTCCAATATTAATTTTGCACCAAGAATTCGCTGCACGTGAGTAGTATATACATCTAGTAATTAGTAATAAGTCTGCTAAGTCGAGAGTAGGCTATTATTATTATTGATGGTGACTACCCTAAAATTCATGTAAGTAGAATTATGGTTGGTTCGAGCGAGGTTTTTCTCCGGGTATACTCCAAGTTTTCCTCCCTCACCATTAACCAGTGAGGCCGGAAAATTGTCCGAAGGTTGTCGGAAATTGTCAAAGTTGTCGACGGGGGGGGGAGATTTAAAATGGTGTCGTCCGGAAAATTTTTGGTTTGTCGGAAAAATCCCCCCCCCCCCCTATTGTTGACACCCGTCGGAAAATTGTCAATGTTGTGTCGGAAAATGTCAAAGTTGTCGACGAAATTTAAAATGTTGTCCGGAAAATGTTTTGGTTTGTCGGAAAAATTTTCGGTTTGTCGGAAAAGTACTGCCCTTGGCCCCCCTAAAACATGGGTCCCACGGCGCCACTGCCGTTAACTAACCCTTCAACTAGCGCCAGCGGCGGAAATTTCGGTGGGGTTTTGAGACAACTGCCCCACCACCTTTATGGGAAATTTTAACCCGAAAAAGGCTAAAATAAAAACAGCCAAATTTGGGTTTGTGAATTTCCCATGCCACTGCACATGCCTTAAGCCGTTTAAGATTCCATATGGTCGCAACGGTCGTAAAGATAGTCACGATCTTTCTCAACGGCCAGATAATAGTTTTTATACCTGTAAACCACATATAAGTCATAAGTATTCTCTATTTATAATCACTCTGCCTATACTATTAGTGTTAAACTGTTGTATTTCAGCTGTTGAGAAAGATCGTGACTCAATCTTTACAACCGTTACGACCATGCATATGGAAACTAGGCTTCATAAGCTTAGCTATGGTCCGTGAAAAGACATGGCTCGCATGCTGTGCCCGGTAAGGCTCTGACTCTGTCACGTTTGAGCTGGGTTCGTCGCCTTTCAGCTCTCAGCTATACAAGGAAAGATAATTACCACCATTATTTTCACTCTAAAATATCATACACGATGAGAAGGTGTTTACTATAGTGATTTAAAAAAAAGTACAGCGGATCACCTTGAAGACACCTTGTCGTACTTTGCAGCTGTGACTATATATAGAGCTTTTTAAAACAAACTAGCGTTTGCATAGAAAGTGAAACTAGGAAAATATTCTCCTTAAGAGTGTTTGTTATGAAAACAACGTTAACAACAATACCATGCTGATTTCTTTTTTTGCTCACGAATTGTTAATACGATAAAGATTAACAAAAGCTCTAGTCTTTATGACACATTATTTTTACCAATCCTCGTAGTTTTTCCATAGCGTCAACGACCACCTTCATGGAAGTGATTTTTTGTTTGAGACTTCGTTAAAATCCTCTCAGGACATATACAATACATGTAAAAGTATCTCTTAAATGTCTTAAAATTAACATATTGATCTAATCCAAATAGGAATGATTAATATCCCAAGAAAAGTGCATTATGTCTATTAAGTCGTTTTAGTTTTCAATTGCAGCCCTTCCATATTGACAGAAGTTTTTATTTTAAAGTACTTAGTGACTCTTGAGTTAAAAACTGAAACACTTAATTGACCTAATTTTGACGTGATTTCTTGGTATATTTTGCCTTAAATCTTCGTAATCGAGTTAATATTGAAGCTGAATGGTTTTCCAAAGGCCCGTTTACACTTTTTACACTAGTATACGATTTTGTTCTTCTGCGGATGCATGTGAAGAGGTGATGAGTTATGAATGTTCTGAGTATTTGTACCAACCTCATCTGAACATTCATAAGTCATCCACTTTCACCATTGTACCCATAAAATCGCAGCAAAAATTACAAGTGTCAAACCATGACGCCAAAGTGACAACATCAGAACATCTATAGATTATAGTATATTGACATTTCAGTTAAAGTCAACAACATTTTAAATCCGAAAAAAAGTGTGGATTATACCTATATGAAATTTAAGTAATGGAGTTGTATAGTCTGCGAAGATGCAGGCAACTTATTCTTCCAAATCATTAAATTTATCAATGATTAATGTGGTAGGTTGATATTTATGCATGTCTAGAATCATCCGGCTATAAAATTATTGAACTGAGACTAATTCTGTAGGATCTGATCAATGAAAATAACTGATACAGCACAGTTGACAAATTTTGAAATGCCATCATGTGGCCAAAACAAGGCATTATGTTAATTGATTAACTTTCTCATGAACATGATGTTGGAACTTGAAAGGCTGATTATACTTGTTCAAAGTACCCATGCAACACCTTAAGTTAATTAAGAGTTAGCAAACGGAAAGAACAACAAGGAAACACTCAAAACGTCATGCAGCACCCGAGTGCAACAAAATTGTGAAAAATATTTATACTATATCTATATATATATTTATTTATATCTTGACATGTTTTGTGAGGATTGTGACATAATAATACTATTTAGCTCAACACCAGGAACATTCCTATTTTCTGCTTGGTTTTACCACCCACTGACACTGTAACAATGATTAACATATGCGTAACAACACGTTTTCTGAACTGTTCCTCATCCACTGAATCAAGTACTGCATGACATGTACCTAATTTTAGTGTGCAGTGATAAAGTGAAAGTGTGCTGTGATAAACAGTAAAAAATGCACATGCATTGATAACATTTGCTGTGAGAAATTCTTAATTCGAGCAATGGCTGTAACTAAAAATATTTAAAAATTAATGCGTGCAATAAAAGCGATCAAATCCACCGTTTTCTATTCTATAATTGATTCAGCTGTAGACTATATTCTATTTTTTTCTGAAAACCCCTGATTAATAGAAAACGGTGGATTTGATCGCTTTTATTGCACGCATTAAAAATTCCGGATTGCTATTTGCGACAGGCATGGATTTCACGGTGTGTCGTTCGTAAACATTTCCTGCACATGGGAGTACCAGTTGTCTTGAGTTCCGGCTGACTGGCAGACTCTCTATTGCTTATGGAATCTGTAGTGATAAATTTCATAAATTACGTATGCTGTATGAGTCATATATCCTAGAGTCGAGTTAAATACTTCTTCCTAAAGGTAAGTATGGTTTGTTTACTTTTGCACCTAGTTTATAGTATCAACTTCTGTTGCTAACCTGCGTAAACTAGTGTGCAGTCCAGGGTGGTCTTTGACCAATGGCAATATATAAGTATATGGAGGTTTGAACTCCATTAGCACTGTAATTCATGCACTTATAATAATTAATTGAATTTTTTTATTATTGAGTATAATAATTAAAAGTAATTTACTGTAATTGTACAATTGTTTATAAAGACGTCCTTATTTCGTTGCCGACAGACTCGAAATGATTACGTTTTTGTACTATATTAATGTAATTAACTAATAATATTAAATAGATTTATGTGGAATTACAGCACCAATTTGGCGGACAGTATTGGAGAAAACGTCCCATTTTATTTAGTATGGACACCCTGGAATCTTTCTTGCAATCTATATATAGTAAAGGAATAGTAATATTATAATTTTTGTTTTCCTGTACAATAATCTGGGTACCATTAGGTACAAATTTGTTAATATATTAGTTATGTACTTTAGTATTTAGAACGTGTGGCTACATATATACTAGTAGTAATATGGTTTCGAGTTCGAAGGAGTGTATGTTTTTCCAAATTGCACAAGAAATCACTCATGATCATTTGGAATGACACGACAGTCAACAACTGACAACTTAAAAATGTCAGAAGTCAAAATTTATAAATAAAATTATTTATCGTTTTTATCGTATCATTTTTTTGCACGAAATGTTAAGATAATAATCAGAATTGAGTAATTTTTCGTGTATATATATAGAAACAGGGTTGGTAATCTTGTTTTTATTATAAACATGGAAGCGTAGAAAATTGGGACAACATCTGATGTATTTAACCTCCAAGATAACGAGTAGTTAATTAAAGTCCGAACGATTATGGATTTCTATTTTATCACAATAGTCTCTGTCCTAATCCGCGTGACAAGACAAGAGACGGGATGATTTTGATGTATGGAATTAAGTTGAACGGTATATGATTCAGGAAAATTGCGTCATTGTCATGGTAAAGTTTGCTGAGAAACATTTCCCGTTAGACTTGATATGTTACAATACGTCAAAATTATCACATTTTCCATTCCTTCCCAGCGAACAGGGATCATGTACACAAACTGTAAATTGATCATACCACGTACATGCATGCATGCGATCACTATACGCAGCGCTTTGCGCGACCATTTTCGCCATGCTTCAGTTCTTTGAAATACTGTACATATAATTCTCATATGAACTAAATGAGCATTGGTGTAGCCAGGGTCGAATGTTGGGGAGGTGGCGAAACCACGAATGACCTAGGGGGTCCGTCTATCTCTAGGCTCGTTAACGCCATTTCCCTCGTTCTGATACGAGTTTTTAAAAGTAATTGGAAGGTCATAAATCACAAATCTGTTATTTCTGGGAGCAATATTTACAAATGTTTGTACAAGGTTTTCTATAATTAATTACTATTAATTCGATTTGACTCGTTGCTTACCTCACCTGACACACCCCCTATCTTGCCGGATTTGAACTTTTCACGAGAACGGTTTTGAATAACATTGGGGCGGGTACGTCAATAAAACTGTAAGAACCTATACTTCACGCGAGGTATAACAACACAGTTTCGTTGTTTCATGAACAATGATGAACGTAACTATATGATATAGCTTAATATTACTTTCAAAACTATTTTTCTTTAGATGGACTGGTGGCTAAGCCAGTGGGTCATGCATCATCGGCAACATATGGACATATAGAGTCATCTGCAGAACCCACGACATCTGGAAGTCAGTTTCAACCTGGAGTGTGGGATAAACAGTTAAATACAGCACGGCCTGGTAACGAAGATGAAACTGAGAAATTTGAACCAGAGGGATGGAAACCACCGTAATGTCAAGATATTAGACATAAATACAAATATTTTTCAGATTATTATGAAAACCAAACCCAATAGACTTTACTATTTATTGTCGCAATGGCCTCGTTTTCATGTTCGCCTGTTTTAGCATGGCAGTTGTGTTGTGAAATGAATTCCCGCCATTTTTTCCTGATTGTCGGGTTTCCAACGGAAAACTAATTTCCACACGTCACGAATTTAACTCAAACAACTTCATTTTACTGCACTGAATGAGAAGATTGAGTTTCAAAAACTCAATTCAAGATTGAGTTTTGGGGGCCGTTTACGGTCCTAAAAAATCCCTGAAAAAAACCTGCATGACCATGTCTCGGGCACGAATATGTTTCTCTTTGATCTTGAGCCCAATCATAAACCTATTCTAATATTCTTAACCCTACTGTGCACGAAGCATGAAGAAGTAACAACATGAAAACGAGGCCATTGGGGCAAGATTGCACTAAACAGTGCACTTAAATCTTGAAGACTTGTTTCCATTTGGCCGTGTCGTTGACTAGGCATGTTACTCATGGTATTTCAAAGTTGACCAGTTTAAGTGACAAAATGTTTGAACTTGTGCTTTAATGAGAGCGACGCAGTTGGTCTGCTCGCCACTGCCAACTGTCGCGATTCAGTTTCCCACTCCTCAATGTGGTGTATACGTATATATTAGGTATATACTGTGCCGGAGTCTTGGGTGGGGAAAACGTGGTTTAATATTAGCTTTACAGTGTTTATTTATATAATACAATGTACAACAACAGCCGAATTCATATTAGAGACGGGAAACTCGTCTTAGACGGGAAACTCGTCTCAGACGGGAAACTCGTATGAATCCGGGGGCAGACGAGTTTCCCGTCCGAACTTTCCCGTCTAACTTACTCGTCTAAACGGACGGGAAAGTTAGACGGGAATCTCATCTAGACGGGAAACTCGTCTTAAATTCGAATTTATCCGTCCCTAAATTCATATTCAGACGGGTTTTCACAGACGAGTTTCCCGTCCCTAATATGAATTCGGCTAATAAAACCTTTCTTTGCTAAACATGCATATAGTACAGTAGTACTGATGGACTCCAAAAGTATAAATTCGAAGGTAAATGATTTCAAATCGTGTTGGTTCCTGACATGAACGAAAATAAACCAAGTAAAAGCTTGAAGCAATGAAGGAGTTCATTTGAGAGGGTTTTCGTGATAACCTATATATGGTTATCTGCATGAAGTGTTAACATATCATAATGTAAGAATGCGTTGGAGTAATGGGATGTCATATTTGGGATGCTTGCATTCGAAAGTAAAGAACTTTTTAATTTCGACGTAATGATAAAATGGCATAAGTGCAGGATGATGATAAGGCAGTGTGGGCAATCAAGGTCTTACATGATCAACTTATAAATGACACGAGTGGGAGTTTATATTATGGTGGTTTGTGGAACACCAGAAATTGTGTTGGAGATGAGGCGCTATAGGCAAGATATTTTGAGGTGTTTTCAATTTTGTTTTTGAATGGCAAAAGTGATAACCGACTTGGAGTGCCTGATATATCTGTGATCACTGGCACTGAAGGGAAATTCACGTGAAAGTCGACTAAATTTATAGACGTTTATTATCGTGGTAAACGACAACCCTTAATTGCTTTGGTCGTACATTATTAATACGTTTGAGTGAAGTGGATATACAGAATGGATCCAGGAAAAATACTAGCTACCTTTTGAATATGTAACAGTTTGGGCGTTGATAATCAGTCGTAAAACGATAATTCGATCTAAACTCTAAAGTGAGATTTTTTAGCCTTAGAAAGATTGTTACAGGTTTGTTACACAGTTATTCATCTACGAGGTTGGATCATTTCAAGGCTTTCAGATATTATGGGGGGGGGGGCTGTTGCCCACCTGGAGATATCCAGCGAAAGACACACAGTATTTGAGAGCAATACACCCTTTCGATAATTACGTCACACATACTTTTTCGGGTCCTGGAGCCTCGCTCTCATAATTTAGTAAATTATGCAAGGTGATTGGCTCACGAGAGCGAGGCTCCCAGGCCAAAATTATGACGTAATTATCAAAAGGGTGTATCAAAAGGGTGCATTCAAGGATGGGGAAAGACATGTACAGTAATTGCAAGGAGATGGTTCTTTATAACTTACATTATGTTTTAGGCATTCATGTTTATTGAAATTATATGTGTCAATGGTTTATGGTGTAATCTGCAACAACAAATGAACAGAATTACAACCTCACATTTGTCCAAAATACTGCAAAGGTATTGCATCAACAAAACCTTTAATTAATTGTGGGCCACCAAGGTCCCCCTTGTATCAACAAAACCCCTTTATTTTAATTGTTTTAACCCTTTGGCTTTAAGTGGCATTGTATCAAAATTAATTCCCTTGGTGAATTAATCAATGAATTAACTAGCACTTGATAAATTAACCCTTTAGGTTGCATTGTGCCCCAATGCCCCCCACATTTCGCCTGTAAAATCAAAATCTCAAAAAACACCGTTATGAATTAAATGAAATATATTTTTTATGTGTGGAATTGTCTCATTAGTACTGTATATGTCACCAACGATATACTTATATACTGTCCTTTAAACAAAGTCATAAATCTTTATGAACTGCAAATATTACATTTATAAGCTGCAAATATTACATAGTAAATAAACACGGTTAATTGGAAGGTTGACAAGTGGTTCTACATTCATGTTCATGGATTTGTGTGCACTTTGATATTGAGCAAACATAGTGTATTTATGTATAACTAATAATTAAAAAATAGCCATCAATTATATGGAAAGTAATCAAATTTTGTAACCAAGTAATCAAAACTCATCAAATGAATTGGTTCGTATGAGAAAATGTGTTGGTAGATTATTTTAGGACCACGTCCATTGCCACAACTGTAAATGTTCTTACAATTCAGTTCCTATTGGTTCATGTGGGGAAATGAATTGGTAGAATATTTTAGGAACGCTTCAAATGCCATGTACACCTTTTTTCATTTAAGTATATATGCTATCTTAATAGATCTAATCAGCCATTGCATGTTTACTCCCATTGTCACACGATTCACATTTTCGGATTAACTCACATGCCTCATCACTATTTTTCTAATAATTGTAGGCATAGAGTGGAACAAAGGTAACAGAAGCAAAATATTTAATAAAATATTTATGTGAGTGAAGTGGGTGGCAATGGGCATAAACAAGTTATAGCTACTACCTGGATCGATAGTAAAAATATCCTTACCAACTAGTACATACAACATACAACTAAGTTGAATCATAAGCATAGCAGTAAACATAATTATAATGCTTACATTCATTTTGTCTTTGCTTTCTTACTGCTCTTTGACAAATGACCATCAGTAGACTTTTTCTTTGTATACTTCTCTCCACGAAATGGCGAATCTTTGGGCAGAAGTAGTGACCATCCTTGAAATGGTTCAACAGTCACCCTGTCATTACCAACACTTTCATGAACTGTAACACCAACCATACCAGCAACCAATGCAGACATGTCTTGTACTCTTGTCTCTAGATCCAAAATACCCAAAGGTACGGTTACAATAGCACTAGGGAAATCACCCAACAGAATACCGATGTCATCACCAACTGCCCCTTTCAAGAACTCGACAATCCATCCACTGTATCTTGGTGGGCCAGAACTTAAGTGACTTCCAGAACCATATGGTCGTTCATAGGTCATGATTCGACTCCACCAATCTTCATCTGGTTGTCCACGGTATGTCTCAAGCAAATTTTCAAATATTTTTGTTACCAATGACCACCATTCTTCCTTCAGGTATATATCATCTGTAATTGGTTCCAAAAGTGTTTTTAACACTTTAAGCTTAGACAAAAGCTTTTTCCAATCATCTTCAGTCCCTTTCATTTCAATGGCAGGGATACCACAACCACCACAAAGAGTGAAATTAAAGTAGGCTTGTACAGATGACATGAGGGTGATCTGCGAGACTATTTTCTGAATTGCTGTGGTTGTTGTGAAATCCGCTGTCACACCGTCTACATACTCAGGAACTTTCACATTCTTTGCTATCTCCAAGCCGATGGTATTAAAAAATGAGGAGAAATCCATATCTTCGAAAACTGGCCAGCCTTGGGCTCTGGTAACGTCTACCATCAAATCCTGTTTCCCCTCAAAATTAACAAACATCTTTCGTACATTCGGTTTATCACAGTACAAGTCAATGTGGTGCGATATTGTTTTTATAACACAGAACCACCAATCATCAGGAGAGGTTCGCAGATTCCAGTGATTTGTATAAGCAAGCAAAACAGACTCAAAGAAACCAACGTCTGCTTGGGAATAAACTTCATCTTTTGAACCTATCATGGGTGTACGATCTTCGACAGTCTTAGTACGATAGTTTGGCATATGATTTATTAAACCACACTCGTAATATGCTGATGCTCTTGAACTTCTCGACTTTTGCTCACGCTCTTTCTCTCTGGCGTACTGACCCAGAAGCGATGTAGCTTCGCGTCGGTAGAGCAGTGGAGTGCTGTCATTTGCTTGCTTTCTTGCATACTTTTTACCGATTACATTGCCTTGAAAATTTGCGAAGACTTTTATTGGGTCGGTTTGTGCTGGACGGTCTGCTGATAGCACGACATGTTGGATATGTTTCACACGGCTATTCAACATCTCTCTCTCAAGAAAGTTTGCAAATAAACAGAAACAAATTTAGGTAAGATTTGAGAGCACTCCAAAACGAGCAACTGCAACATGTGTCACTTCGGTATCGATTCCGTCCGTCGTCCTGATTCCATGCCCTCCCGCGCGCGGGAGATTCACCAGTAACCAGAATTACCAGAATGCACCTCTCTCCTCCACAGAGGTTTCAATGAGCTT